TTTTGTCAGGCCAATAGAAGGGCCAGGTCCAAAAAGTATTTGGTTGACTGCTTTCTTGGCTAGTGAATCAGCAAGACGGTTACCTTTTGATGTGGCGTGACCTTTGATCCATCTTAAGGTGACCACATTGTTGATGGATACTTCGGCCAAAGCTTCGTGACATTCTAGTACTAACCCTGAGTAAATTCGTGGTATGTTCAGGGTGAGTAGTGCTTGTTTCTATCTGTATAGATGAGTATGTTCCTTCCAGTGATATTGTTTCTGGTTATTTCTTTTGCTGCTATGAGAATCCTCGTTAGCTCTGTTTGAAATACACTGGTACTATTGCTTACAGCCCATTTTATGTTTAGGTTTAAGAATCTGGAGTATATTCCACATCCTGAGCCTTTTTTTTTGTTTTAGAACCGTCGGTATAGATATGCATCGTATCTGCCACTTCTGGCATTAGTAACATGTCTACACATACACTCCCAGTGAAGGCATTTTCATTACAATAGTTAATTCAAACGCAAATAGAACAAAATGGTTTAGTTAGACAAAATTATGTACTATTTCTAATAAACAACATAGTGCATTTAAAAATATATGCCTCCATTTAAATGACCTTGAAAAGCAAGAGTAAGCGAAAATTAAAATACAGCATTTTGTGGACTTACCTTGAAATTTTTCTACTAAATATACAGAGTGAGTAAACTAAATGCGAAGACACCTCACCCCGTATATAAAAACATATTCTTCACACTAAATAAGAATCTGCATCACGAAACACTCAAATTAAACACAATTAAAGATAAATTCAAAAGAATAAAAAATATATAACGAATATCAACAATGGACTATCGACAAAGATTTCGAAGAAAAGAGAGCTATAAAAGTAAGTGTGACCATATTAACTTACTCTGCGGAAACATTGTTTTAAATTGGGAAACCATTATTCAATCCAATGTTCAGGAAATGTTAACTGGCACCGGAAACCGCTATGAAAATAATGCAATACAAATCTGATCAAAAAAAAAAACTAAACTGCTTGCCACTCGAACTTACACATAGAGATTTTTAGGCAAAATTTAAAGTCCAATATTTTCAACAGGAATGCAAATTTTTGAACGCGGCTTGCAGATTTTAAGAGCTAGTTTTTTTCGGATTAAGATACTAGACGTATATTTATCGTAAGACTATTGGTTGAAAGTCATCTAAAAATCAAAAAGTTTGTATAAGTGAAATTTTCTCCAAAATTTTTTTTTGGTCGTTCCAATATGGTTCGTTATAAGGTAAGATCAATATCTCTAGCGTTTTTGTCAGTTTTTGGATTAAGGTCCTTGGTCTTGTACACACTACTAAACATAAAATTTGGGTAGCAAATTTTTTAAAATGCTATAACTTGACATTTTATTGACGGTTCATGATGAATTTTTGCGGATTTGAAATCCGTATTTCACGTAAATTTTCTATGGTCTAAGCATTTTGTTTGAGGATTGAAATTTACACAATATACCTGGTCGATATAATAGACAAAAACGTAGCGACAAGAACAAGTTTATTACATTATATTCTACAATATTTCTTACAAAATTTCTAATTTTAAAGGTTCCTGCAATCCCTAAAAAAACAGGGTGTACTGTAATAACAAAGATTGGGTATGTATGGATAGGGATACCTAGTGGTAATTGGTATTGGTAATATTTAATAAATAAAAAAAAATGTTGACCTAAAGAGTCATTTATTTTTCCAGAGTTCTTTGTTCTATTCTGCATAGTTCGTTCAATTAAAATTTTTTCGGTTTTTTGGTTTATTTTTTTTTGTATGTCTACCCACATGCCCATAATTATGATCACCAGTAGTTTCGACGTGACGTTTGAAATTATAATTTGTCTTTCGGCTGACATTGTAAATGTGCGCAATTTGCTTTTTTCACATTTCTTCGTTGAAAAGTCGAATGGAATTTTCCCTTTCTGCCATATTTACAAAATTATAACATTGAAATGTGTCAGATTATTTCTAAAATAATTCCATAGCAACAAATTTGTTTCTCCAATGCCTACTTTGAAATTGACACACGCGGCGTAGAAATTACAGCCGATCATAAATATGGGCATGGGGGTGGACAAAGAACTCTGTAAAACTGAATGACACTTCAAAACATTAAACTGGGGTGATAGTTTTGGACAGAAGAATGAGATTGATATTAAATAAAAACAATTTGAGGTGAGAATTTATTTTTACAAAGACTTAAATAATGCCAAACCTTAGAGCGCGTTGTACGCTACGTTTTTGTATAATATTGACCCGGTATAATGTGTAAATTTCAACCCTCAAATAAAATGCTTGGATCATGGAAAATCTACGTGAAATAAGGATTCCAAATCCGCAAAATTCATCATGAACCGTCAATCCAATGTCAAGTTAAAGCATTTTAAAAATTTTGCCGCCCAAATTTTATGTTTAGTGGTATGTACAAGACCGAAAAGTTCCTAAAAAAATTACTGGTGCAGTTTAGAAAACAAAAACCCTTGGATAATTTGTCGTAAAGTAAAACACTCGCCACAAATGGTAAGGTAAAAAATCCTGCCGACCCAATGTTTAGAGACAATACAACGCATGCGCATTACAGAGTATTTGGAGAAAATCCGACGATAATTACACATATGCGTAATTGGTTGCCTATATCAATTATCAGGATTGCATCTTCTCTTATCTTGAATTTGCTTATTCCATAACTATATATTCTGTTATTTGACTAAGGCGTTTGATTATGTCAAACATGCATATTGTTTCGGAAACTTCGAGTTTACGTATTTAAAGACGTAACTCTGAGTTAGGTAAAATCTTTTCGTTCAGAACGTAAGCAAATGGAAAGAGCTACTGACTATCAAGTTTTAGATATAAGTTAGGGAGTCCCTTAGGGTTCTGTGATGGATCTCATTTTATTAATATTTTATATAAATGATTGAGCTTAACTTACTTTCACTGTATTTGCTGATGAAACTGCGATTTTATGGTACATCTGCGTTCTTTATAACACAATATCTTGTGACATTAAAAAAATGAGAGCTGGTTTTGATGCCAATAGTTTGTGTCTAAATATGGAAAAAACAAAGATTTCAACCCTTTAAAGACAAAGCATTGAATGTGTTGATACAATTACATTTCTAGGCATTAATTTAGAAAATAATTATAAATTTAAGAACCATATACAATTGTTAAACAAAAAACGTATTTTCTGGATGTTTTGCAGTCAGAACTGTGCAAAATAAATAGGTTTTGTAACAAGTAGAAGTGTATATTATGCTATTTTAGATATGGAATTGCATTTAGGGGAAGTTGTAGCCGTGATTTATTATATAATAGTTTGTGTCTGTGTATTAATCTACTTAAAGAATGTTCACAAAAACCTCATAATCTTCTACTTTCTATTAAAGACAGTTTATCTACCTGCAGTGTTTTAAACTATCCTTAATAAGTGATATTTTTTGTAACGTTATAATCAATTTGACACTGTTAAATGAAATATTAAAACGTTTACGACATTTTAGGCCTAAGTTTTTATTTTATTTAAAATACCGTCTCCAAAAAAATATTGTATATTTGTGAAAATCAAAACTGCGAATTAAGCGAGAAATAATTTCAACATTGGAAGGAATCCCGGCCTTGTTTAATGCTTACCCTAGGCGGCAGAGTTTAAAAAATAATTCATTTATGGTTAGTAATGGAATGTCACGCAGCTTTGAACGAAGTATCCATTAAGAATGTAGTCACCTTAAGAAGGATCAAAGGTTAACGTTACATCGAAAGGTAACCGTCTTGCTGATTCACTAGCCAAGAAGACAGCCAACCAAATACTTTCTGGATCTGGCCCTTTTATTGGCCTGACAAAATCGGTAGTGATAGGCCTAATTTTAGAACCCCTTGTGAAATTTAAGGAAAGATGGGATGAAACAAGAAACTGCAGAATTTCCAGGGAGCTACAGCAAAACTACAGCAAACATATACTTAACTTTGACTAGACAGAATATGCTCCTGGTAACAGGCATTCTGTCTGGTCTTTGCCAAGTACGGAAGAATCTCCATATCATGGGGCTGTTAGTATCCGCATCGAAAATATCCTCTAATATTTCCCGACGCTCTTATTTATTAGAAGATTTGTGTTCGGCGAATATCGGTTAACACCGGCCTATATAAGAAAAGCCCCTCTTGGCCACTTTGTCAAGTACATTAATCGGCAGATTTGCTCACGAGCTAGGAGGTACCTATCATCTTAGGATCTACGCGGCAGTATCTAAAAACGATTTAATGCGCATGCTCGAAACTACCGTAATGAGCTGCTTGTTGAAGCTAAAAGTGAATTATGTTATTCGTGATATACTGATGGCATATAATGGTCTAATCGCCTATGAACAGAAGTGACTATAATAATCGAAAACAAATCCAACAACCAGCCTGGAAAGAAGTAAAACTTCTATAACAGGATATTAGGAAAATCAAATATGCTCTGTAAGAGGGTATCCGGGGGTCATTCTGGGGGGGGAATTGCATAGTCCAAGGAAAACGCTCCAAACTCGTTACTCGGGGGTTTTCGGGGATGCCAAATACAATTTCAGCATTAGATTTCCCCAGAAGTGCTCAGGGGTGGCTCTGTGGGGTTGTCTGGGGATTATTGGGGGAAATGGCAGCGTCCATGAAAATCACTCCAAAATCGTTACTCGTGGGTTTTCAGGGATGCCGAATTCAATTCTGGCATTAGACTTCCCCGGGGGCGCTTGAAGTCCCTCTGTGGGGTTGTCTGGGAGTGATTGGGGGGAAATGGCAGCGTCCATGAAAATCGCCGAATCTAGAAGTGTTCTTGCTGAAGCCGCCTTCCGCTAGAGTACCTGTTGTGTATTCTTCCGAAAGCTTAGCATCCAGAAGCGCGTGCGTCAGGTTTCGTATATTATTTCTACATGCTTTCATGGGATGCACCACAACCCTATCGAAAGAAACTAAAATTCTGCGATTTGTTTTAGAAATCCGAAGATTTACATGGGTTTTTAGAAATATTTAAGCAAACACATGTATCCATGGATAATTTAATAGATGATGGGCTTCGTCTAGCTTTGGGTCTTTACGGGGCACCCAAAGATGTGCGAACGAGCGATAAACCGGCGATTGAGCTTGTTCAAAGCTATCAAGGAAAAATGTATGCTGAAGCCACCAATTCTAAAAAAGTCGATCTTGAACGCATAATACCGACTGCCAATCTGTTAACCGAGCATATCAAGCGTGTCTATTTCCAAGTACAGGCTTGGTATGGTTTACAAGGTCAAGACGAGACCTTAGATCCATTGGAGAGGGGGTGGGAATTAGTGGATGGATAGCTAAGTCCTGTCACCATGACCCAGGAAGCCGGTCGCTAGAAAATTTTAAGCAAAATTACTTGTGTTTGTGAAACCGACTGTAGCACGAGGTGCGCGTGCCGCTGAAGTTGGTTGGAGTGCTCACTTGCATGCAAGCATTGCGATGGCAATTGCTCAAACCACAAAGGCACTTCCAACGGGGCCGAGAATAGTGACGAGGAAGAATATGAAGAAGGGGAACAAGATAAAGAATGGGAAGAAGAAGAAGAGTTTGAACAAGATGTTTAGTATTTAAGTTAAAAATTTAAGTTTATAATGAATAACTCAACATTAAAAAACTTCTATTTGTTATTTGAATAAAGTATTATTTTTATTATTTGTAATTTTTCACTTTCTCATTTACCATTTTCCACAAAACCACCCCCGAGCGCCCTCGGAGAAGTCTAATGCCAGAACTGAAGTCAGCATCCCCGTAAACCCCCGAGTAACGATTTTGAAGTGATTTTCACAAACGCTGCTATTTCCTTCCCAATCACCCCCAGATAACCCCATAGAGCCACCCCCGAGGTAAACGAATGCTAGAATTAAATTCGGCATCCCCGAAAACCCGGAGTTTGAAGCGCTTCCCATGGACTATGCAATTCCTCCCCCCCCCCCGAATGGCCCCCGGATTCCCCCCACAGAATCGCCCCCCGAACGCCCCCGGGTACTTCCAATGTCAGAATTGAATTATCGGCATCCCCAAAAACCTTCTGAGTAACGGGTTTGAAGCGATTTTCATGCACGCTGCCATTTCTCCCCCACAGAGCCATCCCCGTGCACCCCCGGGTAAGTCTAATGCCAGAATCAAATTCGGCAGCCCCGAAAACCCCCCGAGTAACGATAACCGAGCGATTTTTCCGAGTTTACAGTCGTTCCTATAATGGTGCAAGTAATAATGCAATTGGAAAATGAATTTTCGGTCCAGAAAGCATTTTTCAAAAAATGGCTAAACCAGACGATATAGACTTTTTTTCCTGGGACCTTCCTGAACATAATGCAGAAAACCGCATCTCGATATCTGTTGTCCCTAAGAATTTCCGCTATTTTTCCTAACTTTCCTGGACTATAAGAAAACGAGTAAATAAATAATTAAAAAATATCCTGTGAGTCCATATTACAAATTTTAAAAATGTCAATTCAACAAAAGAGCAAAAATTATTTAATTATATTGTTTTAATTAATATCTAGTTGAAGTCAATTTTGTTCTGTGGTTTATTTTTCTTTTCAAAACGGCAATAGTTAAAAAATAATTACTTAATAGCCCTATTCTACTTTCTGACATGCACTATACATACGCTTTAACCTACTTTTAAAGCCGAAACAATTTTAAAGTTTTAAAAAATAGCACTTAAGGCGTCGGTTGTAAATTACCTGGACATGTAATTTCATTCCAAGTAAAAGGTTTATTAATAAGTGCCTAGATGTAAAGGGTCGATCTAGGGTCAGACTTTGAAGGGTATCTTGGGATTTAATTTATATAAGTTGGCTTTTGAACGCGCGACAAGGTAAATTGTTTTAGAATATTATTTAAACCCTTGACAATATAATATGTCTATTACTGGGTAAATTTAATGAATAATAAGATGTAGCAAAACCGAATAAATCCATCATAAATGATTTTTGGGGAAAATATTATTTTTCTGTAGCGCAAAAAGTAGCAGCTTTTTCGATTGTTTTGTCAGCAAATACCCAGGGGTAAGATTATTAGAGAAATTGTACAAACAGAAAATTCGAATTAAGAAATTCCGAAGATCTTTCGGGACTTCCAAAGGAATTCCGCTCTGCCTAAACAATTACGAGATTATTTACCAATAAATTTCAAAAAGTTTTGGAGAAAGAAAAAGATTATTCGCCTTATCTGTAATAATTTTCCACAACTGGAACTTTTACCTAAAAAAAGATGCATCTATATAAAACAAATTAATTCAATACAACAGATCGATAAGTTTAAATGGAACTAATAATTATAAAATACAATTAAAACAAAATTAAACTGTAAAAATCCTTTATATTAAACGATCTATTCAATTTATGAATTGAATTATTGAACAGAATTGAATTATACAGGCTGGTAACATAAACTTTATAAATGGAACACCCTATATCTCTAACAACAAAATTTTACCGTCACTGCCTGACACGGTAAAGACTAGTTGTCTGCTAAAGGGTCACAATTTGCATAGGTAAATTGTCTCCCAATGATAGGTAGATTAGATTTAATTGGGACTGTGGGCCATGTGGCCAATTCTACCTTTCCAGATGTATTGTGGATAACATTTACTCGTTGTTAAGAGTCCCTCATCTAATTCGGTCTTTTGTAGTAGACTCCAGAGACTGGGAAGTAGGTCTCTGGCGTAGCTAAGGCGTTTTCGGAAACCTACTATAGATAACAACTCCACATTACTCGGTTTACCCGATGGATCACGTGAATCACTGAACTTAGTGCCGATAGTTTACGAACAAGTTGGATTATTGTTCCTGTTCATCTACGACTATCAATCTTTGACTTTTCCACTGCGTTTGTTAAAGAACCATTAAAATTAAAAATATTTGTAGTCTGATTAATAAAGTCCTAATATGGGAACAAAGATTACAGGTTATAACAATTTAATGTAGAAAAAAACTTAAAAGCTACAACTGGCCGACACCATACACCAAAAATTGCGTTATCCCTTTATAAAATCCTGCGGTGCGCATTAATAATCTACTCGTAGAGTGAGTCACAAAATATGAATCCCAATCACAAAGCTGAATCAGTATCCTACTAGTTTTCGCACATAGATAGGTTTAGTTACCATAAGCAAACAAACAATAGGATGTTTTGATCCGAGTAAGTTTCAGAAAACGTCTCTAGGTGCAATTGATTTTTCTTCTCCAAGTGTGAGTAATCTCAGTCTTGCTAGACCTTTGCAACATCACAATAGGTGTTCTGTAGTTTCCTCCTTTTCCTGACAGAATCGGCCTACAATACCCTATTAAAAGACCTACTAGTACTCTAGTATTTTTCATATTAAGGCTTAGTAGATGCTCGTTGAGTTCAGGCGATGGTTCTTTTAAGAACTCTTTAGCCTGTCTCTGAGTGGTGAACTTTTCCACCACTCCTAAGATTGTTAAAACATTTACTGCTTTTTTCATGTTCTGATAGTTATTTTTTTGACACCAATAAGAGCATTTAAGGCTCCTTCTCGGGCTAGTAAATCAGCCTCTTCGTGGTCATCTGTGGCCTGGTACCCAGGCTAAGGTTAGTCTGTATTGGCAACCCAGCTCTGTTAGGGATTCTAAACAGTCCCAAGCTTTGAGTGTATCTGCATAGAACTGAGTGCTTTTAACCTCGCTTGACTCTCTGAGTATATGACAATAATACCTTTTTGCGCAGTGATATATTTCATATACTTATTTTTATGTATTTTTATGTATTTTTATGTATTTTTATGTATTTTTATGTATTTTTATGTATTTTTATGTATTTTTATGTATTTTTATGTATTTTTATGTATTTTTATGTATTTTTATGTATTTTTATGTATTTTTATGTATTTTTATGTATTTTTATGTATTTTTATGTATTTTTATGTATTTTTATGTATTTTTATGTATTTTTATGTATTTTTATGTATTTTTATGTATTTTTATGTATTTTTATGTATTTTTATGTATTTTTATGTATTTTTATGTATTTTTATGTATTTTTATGTATTTTTATGTATTTTTATGTATTTTTATGTATTTTTATGTATTTTTATGTATTTTTATGTATTTTTATGTATTTTTATGTATTTTTATGTATTTTTATGTATTTTTATGTATTTTTATGTATTTTTATGTATTTTTATGTATTTTTATGTATTTTTATGTATTTTTATGTATTTTTATGTATTTTTATGTATTTTTATGTATTTTTATGTATTTTTATGTATTTTTATATATTTTTATGTATTTAATATTTTGGTTATAAGTGGCTGCAAATTCAGCTTTAGATCTTAAATATTGAAATGAAAATGATATCAAATTTGCAGCTTTGTTACATTTTTGACCGTCCAGAAATTCATTATTTTCGTTTTTTGCAATTTTTAACAATGTTGCCGACCCTGTATCAAGTGGCTAAATCGCCAAGTTCTGATTCATTTGATATTTTTTCTACTCATTTAAAATAAGTTTTTAATTAAATAGAAATTTAGATTTTTAAATAACCAAGTAGACAGACCTAATATTTTCTGTAGAATATTTGAGTTTCTAAAAGATTCGTGTCTTATGACAGTTTCAATCTTTTACGTTAGTCAAAAAGATAGATCACTTTATTTAAAAAAATGTAGAGCGACGAAGGGTTTTCTTGCACACCACCTGAAATAACTGAAAAATTAAGTCGAAAAACTTATTTTTCTTTTATATTTTATTTCTTATTAATTGTATAAAAAAGTATTAAAAAATTAGAACATAAAATAATGTTGTTGAATTGAAATAGTTTCTTGGTCGTAGCAAAAATAGTGTATGCAACTCTTATGTAATGGCTATTTATACACTCGGTTGAGATTTACGACACTCGCCTGCGTTTTGTGTCCTAACTTACCTCAAGCTCGTGTATTATAGTTATCATTACATGATCGTTGCAAAATATACTATTTTCTACACCCGTATTATAATAATGCACTTATATGCCCATAATCCGTTTCATAATGATACCCATTATGATACAGATTTTTCATTACGATACAGATTTTTAATCAACAAAAACCTACAATTTTTCAATCAAGCATGCTGTTTGACGTTTGTCCTAGGTTCCTATGTAATTGTTTTAGTTGTCAAAATGTATTAAATTTTAGTAGATAGCTAAACTTCGATAATTATAATATTAAAATGTCTGATATCAGCGATATAGAAGACTCCACACATATCGGAGAAAGCAGAAAATACAATACAAAATATTTTGCCGCAAAAATCTAGGGAAATACCAATACCCGAAGTAATACCATTAATTACAA